CATGGGAAGAAGGGAAACATGTACCTACATGTAAATATCGAGGTATAAAAGCAGGAAAGAAATCGACGAGGGAAGAAATCACCTCTGCAGATAATAGCGGGACATTTAGATGAAAAAAACCCAGCAAGGATTAATTTCAAGGAAAAAAATTTCTCAAACGGAAAAGTTCGGAATTCCAGTCAGAGAATATCTATGCTGAGAGTAATGAGCCTTTAGAGCAATGCGAAAATTGACAGAGGACTGAACGCAGCGGATGTGTTCTGGAAGTTTGTTTCATTCCACAGATAAACTGAAGAGAGGGGATTTAAGGAAATGGGCGCCAGAACGAGGTAAAACTATAGAGCACGGGTGACGACAACTAAGGGATACATTGAATTTGAAACGAATTAGCAAAGACGGAAACTGGTAAAAGACATGATGAAAATACAGCAAGGACAGAATCTGACGACGCCACTTCAGGGATGACCAGTCACAAGTACGATTAAGAATCTGCTTCGGGGTTTCCCACTCAGGAGGGTGCCGGGTCTTACAAAGCAGATATGAACGAGCAGCAACGTCTTGCAGTCGGTCTAACGTAAGCGAATCTGAATGGGATACGGCGAATGACCAGACAGGGACTGCGTATTCTAACAGTGGTCGTACGTAACACTTGTAGAGCAAATTCACGGTTGAAGCAGAAAGGAAATGGGCCATATGGCGCAACAGAAAAACACGACTGCGAAACTTATGGGTGATAGATTTTATATGGTCAGAAAAATTTAGTGAAGGAGTGATAGTCACGCCGAGATGACAGTGGCTATCACCTTTCTGAGACACAGTGCCCATGCTGCACTAGGCACCGTTCAACTGCGCAACCCATAAGCCGTCAAATACATGTACATGTATAAGCAGTCGTCTAGTCAATATAGCCATGAGGAGTGAAATATGCAGGAAGATTTGACTGCTTAGGTATAGCAAAAATCAATGGGAGTCAATACTAAGAGAGAGTGATAATTATTTACTGTATTGTTACATCATCGAGCCTCCTCGACCTCCGTGCGTGGGGTCGGGAACCTCTTTTCATCCGACAAATGCGGACGTCAGAGTAGAGCTAGGCCTGGGGAGGTTTTAGTCCCAAGTAATCCGTGTGTACTTTACGTGTGTGTTCCACGTGCATGATACTAGTACTCAGTGCAGTGACCCACGTACAGACGTTTTCTGATTCACGACATACCGTGTATGGATCAGGAGGCCTCGCGCTCGAGGCTCACCCACGTTCCGCCAGAACGTGAGCGAAAATCAGAATGGAGAGAATTGTGCAAGCTGTGAGGGTGCTCAGCTAAAGAAGTTTTCGAAGCACGATATCAAATTTTTTAAATATTCGATGAGCTTCGAAGCTTCGTCTTTGGCCTACTTTGGGCCTTTCGCTTCATGCTTTTGTTTGTTCCGTGTGACAAAATACATTGTACAACAGTGGAAAGTGAGTCCTTTGCATGCGTTTACGTGTATCGTTCTCGTATCCGTTACGTGGGACTAAAACCTCCCTACTGGGGAGGTTTTAGTCCCACGTAACGGATACGAGAACGTGGGTGATACATGTATACGTAAACGCATGCAAAGTACCACTTCCACTACGTGTTGCATGATTGTACATGTTTTTCGATTTTGACAGCATGTTAATACAAGGCGAGGACGCGTAGTGCTCCTGACTACAACTATAAAATCGAAAAACATGTTAAACCACCAAGCAAGGCTTCTGTATATACCATGATTGTACATGTATGTCGAGGACGATACTGGCAAGACCATGTGACAAAACGGTTAAACCACAATTCAAGGACGCATAGCAACATACCACACAACTTGGGTGGATCTAAAGATTGATTTAAAGATCGATTGGAGGGGAAGCTAAGCGAACATGAATAATGAAGAGCCGAACGCCTCAGTACTACACTGCAGGACTTCGACCAAGACAATTTAGATGGAAAAAACTGAAAAACTGTCACCATCACCCTCATACTCCCTGGCGATGCGCTCGTTCATCGCCTTCAGCTTTTCGTCAACCTCTGTGCGGAGCGCACCCTCTTGCCTTCTGGCACTGCGCTCCTCGCGGTCCTCGCACTGGGAAAGCCTCTGCTCCAAGTATTGGACCGACTTAACGCCTTCCAATCCATAACCATTAACGAATTCCGCTGGCGATAAAGCTGTCTTCCATAGCCTATACAATGTGTCATGTACATGTAGTTGTTCAAGCATTACCCGCCGAGTCCTGGCGTGATCGCCAAATGTTGGGAACCCTCTGACTTTCTTAAAGTGTCAAGAACGAACGACCACATGGCACGAGGACAATTATTGCTTCTTCACAGTATAATTATTCTGTGAAGAAGCAATAGTTGTTTGACTTCGATGGAATGTATCAGTAAAATTAATACTATGCAGCGCATATGGCGTATAACAGGTACTGTCAAAGCCATTACCCTAACGAGGCGCATATATAACGATTTCCCAAAATTGACTAGTTTACGTGTACCAAAGGTAACGATTCTCACTCATTCTCAACGCTCAATAGGGCAGTATAATTATGTATCGGTTTCTGTATAACGATTTCTATTTTAACGACAGATTAATCTTCGTTAAAACTCGGTAGAGTTAGCACTTCGTTATAATATACGTGTATGGCTTTTACAGTACCATGCAGTACATCAGCAATACGGCGGATTCGAGATACAACAATCAAGCGACTACAATGTTACGAGCTAGAAGACCTTTCACACTTCAGAACTTGTGCTTTCTAACACGTACCATTGTGGTCCTTCGTTTTATCCATATTATGGATTCACAGGAAGCGTGAGGTATGACGTCTGAAGAAAATGTTGAACGGTCTCGGCTAGGCTTTCCCCAAATCGGCCAGTTTTTTCGCCTATTCGGCTATGGAATCAGCTTTTTGCTCGGCTCAACAATACATCAGATGCTGCAGCAAAATCAGCTGTTTGTTTGACAATCGGCTGCAAAATTGCTGGCATGCTGGCTTCAAAATTGGTGAGATATTGGAAGATTTGGTAGATTTTCGGCGATTCTAAAAGGAACCCTCCAAAATTTGCGAAAAGCTCAGCGATTTTCGATAAGTCTCGTTTTTGGCAAATTTTCGGTCGGCCGATATGAGGAGTTTACTCGTAACGATCTTCCCAATGGCTAATGTTTGTTTGAGAGGAGGTCAAAGGACACGAGTTACACGACCTCAACGCACTAGAACTATTGGCATAGAACTGAAGAACTCGATCGGTCATGTTTGCAGCAACATTATTTATTCGTAAACACACTTTGCAACAACATTCGGTAGATTTTCGGCGATTCTCAAAGGAACCCTCCCAAATCGGCGACAAGTTTAGCGATTTTTCGTTAAAACTCGTTTTCGGCGAATTTTTCGGCCGGCCGATTTGGCGAAAGCCTAGGCTCTGCTGGGATGAAAGCTACATCATAGCTCAGTGGTTAGAGCATCGCTCGCCTCAAGCGAAGGTCCCTGGTTCGAGGCCTGATGGTGAAAGACAATAATTTTTCTTCAGACTTTTCCCGCTTGTGTCTTTCTCTCAAATCAGTGAGAGGTAGTTTGTTAGAAACTGTCGCAATCCAATAAGGACTTGGGTAGTTTTCTTTTAAAACGTAGATTTTAGTGTGCAGACAACCCGCTTACCGCTGACCGCTGACCGCTGACCGCTGACCGCTGACCGCTGACCCGCACTCTTCTAAACACTACTGTCGAAGTACAAACTTTCGTTCACGAAATCTTTCGTTAGATCACTTCACCAGCAGTAGCAGGCTTGTCATGTCCATGAACAGGTACATGTATGTACTAAAACAATTACATGTAATTTCGTTTTTGGTCGAGGTCTGTTAGGCTTTGACAGATTATGCTAGCATAATTTTTCGCATAATTCCTACCAAAATCGAATAATCGCATAATCCGGGGCTAATTGCATACGAATCGCATAAATTGGAATAATCCGCCTGTTCGCATCAAATTCCATACAGTTGTACATGTTCTACAAGTACAAGTACAAGTAGATGCACCAGGAATTCGGAGGTTTACGACTCCCTTGATAATAATATGTCCAGTCCACTACAATCATTGACGTTCGTAGCTAGGTCGGACGGTGCGTTGACCCCGTTGAACTTTTGCTACTGCAGTACAACGCCCTCTACAAAAGACTCCCCTATTATTTTGCACAGAACCATCATGTACATTAGCAGCATATGTGAGCATAATGCGGCATAATATGATAACTTTTAGCATAAAATAGCATAATTCGGGAATTTTTTCAGCAATGCGAAAAGCATAATTTCACGAAAATGTTAGCATAATCCGTCAAGGCCTAAGGTCTGTCGCCCCGAAAGTTCAGAAAAAAATTTAGTTTGCTACAAACTTTAGTTGTTTCGTGCCCCTAAGGAATACATGTATAGCGAAAGTTAATTCCAAACGAAAATTTGTGCTTACACAGTAAAAAAAATAGTAATCCTCCACTGGACCAGCATTACAAAGGACCACGACGCTCTGCACTGAGATTCAACAACTGTCAAGGACTCATCGATCCAAGTGCCAGGGATCCGGGACCTGGATGCATGCGGGTTCATTCCATCCTTGGATCCCCATACTGCATTACTGGGCCATAGATCTACTGCTTACGCAGTAGGCAGTACTTTGGTTTGGCACCACTTCTGGAGATCTTCAATGCTTCATGGATGATAGAATTTCAAGTGAGACGCGTGCCTCGCTCTTTTGTCTGGCTGCATACACACACAACCAAAACAAACACTTACAGGCATCAACTTGATCAAGCGTGGGCTTTGCCAACACAGCTGCTCGAACGAGTCGAAGCTCTCATGTCATGATACCAGGCACCGACATGGGTGCTTGTAGAACAGTGTAGACTCTACCACCCAATGACTATGTACATGACATTGTATTGTACTTGCAATATCGAATAAAGCCTCAACTGTTACTTCGTGGCACTTTACTTTGGTGGGTTTTATTGGCAGACTACAGGCATACGAAATAGTATACTTAGTTATAGGCCATTCGAAGATCGGATTGGTGTTGCTTCCCGACAGCTGTACGTACGGATTTGCCTTCTCCATCCCTATTGTCCGATCCCTCTGAATAACGTAGACCTGATTTGATCTGGATTGCCGTTACCAATACTTTCAAAGTTGATAAAATAATTGGGCGAGGAGCCTTGAATGCATACTAGACTATTAATTTTCAGGAGTCTACAGGCAGCGACGGTGGCGAAAGGCCACGAGTTGAGCCACCGGTACGTCGTCGTTCGGACCTTGTTTGCTGCCAAGCTAGGTCAGTGCCGCGAGGATAATGCCAGGGGTAACTGGATCCCAGTGTCAATCTGGCTGTTCGCCAGCGGCCCCTAGTCCGTGGCGGAGATTGCGCGCGGCGCATCTGCGCACCCGCTCGCTGGGCCGGTCGCCGGGTGCAACGCGGATCAATGACGATGAGAGCGACCTGCCGATCAGGGCCGCGACTGCCACGCTCCCGGAGGCGCACACGAGCGGCTTCCTGCTGAGCAGATCGCGAGGTACAATACCGGATGGCACGCCTGATGCGGAGTACATGCCTCCGCTCGAGATCATCCACGCGGCAATCACTTCCAGCAGGTCATCCAGTCGGCAGGTGATCGTCGACCACCCACCCGGGTACCGACGGTCCGCTGCGATACGGCCACACGTGTTCGGTGCGCTGGACAGCGATCCAGGAACGGACGTGGACTACGGGTTCGACTCTGACGACGAAATGGAAGTGTTTCCGCGAAGCGACGACGAACTGATCACAAACGGGGCAGGTGAGTAATCCGTGTTCCGTGCACTCTCACATGGACGTACACACTACCGATGCCCGTGGACGAGGAAGGTGTGTGTGTGGGGGGGGGGGGGGGGGAGGGGAGAATCAACACAACTAGTCTAGAGTGCCATGTAACATGATGTTTTAGGCGTACACTATACTTCCTCCGTATTCAAAACTTCGTGACTTTTCTTCAACGGTGTTTTTGAGCAAGAACCTGCTCAACGAACCATGCCAAAGGCTGTCATTGACCACCCACATTCATGTTGAGGTAGGTTTGGTTGATCCCCCGAAGCGAAGCCATGCGTGTGAGGACGTTGCCGACAGGAACTCACGAGCCAAATGAAGAAAAACTAACACTTACTTGCTCGAAACTGACACGGTGACGAAGTGGAGCTTGCGGCTGGAACACGGAGTCACGCAGCATTCGCTGCCCTTAAACTGGCCAGGCTCGTACTTGCGGTGCGCGGCCCCCATATGCAGCGTGAGAACATAAATCGGTTCCGCTCGCACGGCAAGATGAAACATTTCAGTCGTCGTGCAACCAGCTCTGACTCCGGATCGGAATGTCGACGACCTGGCTTTCTTTGCCTCTCTCCAGTCACACGTCTCCGTCGTCTAGGGGAATCGCAGGGACCTCCTCGAAGCCGTTGTAGAATGCTGGGAGGATTATCCTGCCGAGAAAATGCGAAGCGTGTGGGTGTGCTTGAGCGACTCGTTTCACGACATAATGGAGGTCGCGGGTTGGAACGACTGAATATAGTCGACACCGATTCGTACACAGCTCTGGAGGTGAAGAGGACGTAGCCAAATTCCCGCGTCGGATCATCACAGCAGCTGAAAAGAATCTGAACGAGTGGGAGCGGAAGCAGCGACTGTTGGCGATGCGACGTCAGCGTCGTCAGGTGACAATGACAGGAGCGACGAAGACTCTGAATAAACTCAATCTCATTCGTCTGAGTTGCTTTTTTCTTTGTATATAGCTTGTCACGACGTTTTTGTATACAGAGGAAGTACTTAAAAAAGATGAATAGTGTTGAAACGATCTCACCGGATACTCGTTAGCTCGCTCGCCAGAAACTCGGCTCGTTTGTGCGACCAGCTCGTTTGCACTGACGAACACCGTACTCCGTACACATGGCAGTACATGTCAACCGGGGAGTCGTAAAATATTTTACGACTCCCTGGCCCTGGTCGATCGAGAGTCCAGTCCCGCGCAAAGTGAAAATCACTCGCAGTTACAGTGACTGTATGCCTGCACGACACTTGAGTTGTTTCAGTTGTCGTTGCAGCTTTGGTGGACTCTACTGATGTCTTGTTCCGCATCTGCTGACCTGTCGCAGGATATGCTTCGGTCACCTCTCCATTCGAGTGAAAGTTACGCTCAGTCGTTTGGAAGTGTTCTCCCGCGATGCAGTGAAGACCAGGGCTACTTGCAATCTTTGCAAAACGGTCTATTCTTACAAAGGCTGATCGACGACGGCGCTGAAAAGACATCTCGACACCAAACAGCAGTCCGAAGTGAAGCAGCAGCAACCCCAAATGCCGGCGGTGATAATTTGAACCAGCTGAAAAAATCGAACTTAGAAAAAATTGCACTTGAAAACACCGCCATTCCGGCAACAGGCTCTCAGCTGCACCAAATAAAAAAATTAGAAAAAAATTATTCAAAAAAATAATCATATTTGCCACATCAATGAAACTCGTTAGCTCGCTCGATAGCTTGCTCGTTAGTGGAACTGATCGCTCGTTTGTTATAGATGCGCTCGTTTCAACACTAAAGATGAATAAATAGTACGAATCCGCGTATCGACTTCAGACCTACCAACCATTTCATTGCTTTCGACCGTACGGATGTGGACAGCTCGTGAAATACAACGCTCTTCTGATGCCCAATTGAGGGTTGCTATGCGTGAGAAGGACTGGAATTTACCGGTCTGTTTTGAACCATAAGTGGAGTAGCACTGCAGTCGGACCTCGCTTTTAACCGCACACATCCGTGTGGTGGTGTGGTGTATTGGATTCCATAATGGCCGGGTCGTCGCTACTTCTTCTCAACATCCGTTTTCCACAAAAGTATCCGGATGAGCGAGGGAACTGGATAATCGAACACACATCGGTATGTACGTGTAATCGTGTATGCATGACATATGCTGTAGATCGGTAACCAACGATTTTCTTCCGGATGGCGAGGGATCTGGATAAAGGAGGACCGGATAGTCGAGGTCTGACGGTGTTGATCCATGATGTTTCTTTCCAAATCCTAGACAGTTGCAGAGTCATACAGGCACCGTTGCCTCTGTGTGTGTGTGTGTGTGTGTGTGTGTGTGTGTCAGTGTGTCTGTCTGTGTGTCAAGTTAGTATGGCTTCTGCTGTAGCATCGCTATCATTGCCTCCGGCGATGAGCGTCAAAGGTGTGTGTGTGTGTGCACGTGTGCGTGTGTTTGTGTGCTGAAAAATGCCTGCTGGATAGCTGTTGGCTACTCCAAAGCATTATGGCAGAATTAGATAACGCAGCAGTGTTTGTAGCAAAGACTTGCGAAGACTTTGAAACAGCCTACTTTCGCGTTAACTTAACTAACGAGGCCTGGCTGTATTTATGTCTGGCATTGCTGCAAATCAATTATCCATCACTCGAGGACAATAAGTGTCCAATTTTGGGTGCAGAGAAGCGGGGTTACTTATAAACCCCTAGATGTCGGCTTGGACAGCCATCCTACATCCGCCTGGGCCAATGATCGGGGCGAACAATCATGTTTCAAGAGCGTAGATAAAACACACTAGTAGTCCCAAGTTTATTAGTCGTGTGAGAATACATGTATTCCTAGAATATCTGAGCTCAGAGAGTTTCCACCGTGTGATAAGTACTTGCACCTCGGGAAGTTCTAACTCCGAATCCCAGTGATTTGACACTACACGGGCCTCACGATTGCTCTGGAAGTACAGCGTTACTTCACGCACTACCTGTCATTGTGTGTACAATTCCCCAAGTATTGCCGAAGTCGCACCAACCTCTTCTTCACATTAGTAACTGTCATGTCGATTATATTAGCTTCTAAAAAAACATGTTTTATCACTGCAGCAATACTGCAGCAGCGAATAATAATTATAGATTGGATCAATCGTGAATTGCCGAAGCATCAGCATGTGGAGGTCATAGTTTACGGTGTGACACACGGTATATGGCTTGAAATCAGTGATCTTTGTACACAACGACGTCGGACATACGACAGGCAATGCGGCATAGAACGTACCGCTTGTGCCCATTAACAACTTCAAAATATTTCACAGAGGCCTCCGGAGACCAAGGTGTACTATCATGTACTTCGTATGGTTCAACGTACGTATACCACGGTAAAATACATTGTACCTTCTGATGCCCCAGGCCCTGGCGATACAGGTCACCCACAGTGATCGTGTACAGCAGCGGATCCAGCGATCTCTATACAGGGAGGTTCCAGTACAGTCAAAACTGAACAGCTCATACATGTACATGGACATGCATATGGTTGCCAGTAGTGCATTAAAGAGGGTTCCACGGAACCCCTCCTGGATCCGCCCCTGGTGTAACACAGGTTTTTAGCTTACTGACATCTACAACGTAACTGAGGCAATGAAACGCGTGCTGTCTGGGGATTGGATGGATAGCCATGATTTGAAAGTCGGAGTAATACCAGGAGATTGTAGGCTTTTTTTCTTCATATGCCAATTCACATACAATGTCGACTGAGGCAATCTAGTTTAGTTTTATGGTGAAAAAAGGAGGACAACATGTTACGAGTTATGACTAACTGTCCACCAACGTAACCAGATCTTATACATTCAGCGAGTGCGACAAAATGGCACAAAACTGACAAGGAGTACTGACACATTCGGCGACCTGACACCTAGCTCCAACACTTCTCCAAGGCGCAAACCAACAACCTTCCAACTTGGAAGAACTTGGAGAAGTGTTGGAGCTAGGCGTCAGGTCGCCGAATGTCTCAGTACTCCTCGTCAGTTTTGTGCCATTTTGTCGCACTCGCTGACTGTATAAGATCTGGTTAGACGATCATCAGACAGCAAACTTGCTGTCTGATGATCGCCACAGGCGTGAAACTCTGAGTCACAGCCAACCCAAGCTCCGTATCCCATTCTATTCTTTTTGTATGAAGCTCTGCACCCCGGTGCATTGAGCACTCTTTCGAGGACCACACCCAACTCTCCGTGTAAGATCTGGTTACGTTGGTGGACAGTTAGTCATAACTCGTAACATGTTGTCCTCCTTTTTTCACCATAATTTAATTGGCCCACCGTCCGAGATGAGTTTAGTTTTTGAGTGAGAGCTTAAGCTTGGCATGGGGCCAATGCGGTTGATACCGGTAATGTTTACCTTCATGTGCATTCAGTGAAACCTGTCCATGCGACAACTCGGATAAGGCGGTCACCTGTCCTAAAAGACCACGGAAACCAGGACCAAAGGATGCTTTTTCCAGTCAAATGACCCTGGATGAGGAGACAACCTGGTAACAGAGACCACGCTATGAAGGTCCCTTGAGCGGTTGTCTTAGACAAGTTTCACTGTACGTCAATAGTAGGTCACATAATACAGGTTTTAGTGTGACTGCAATGCATACATGTAGTGTAGGTGTGTGGTTGGCAAGGTGGTCAGAACACTCGCCTTCCAAATATGAGCCTTGGGCATTTGATTCAAGGCCCAGCGTGAGGGAAGATTATCCCCCCCCCCCCCCCCGGAAAAGTGAATAAACCCGGTACCCATCTGGGATTGAGTACTCCACTCTGGCTGGGGGGGGGGAGAGTTGACGATAGGCATATGCGGATAATGCCGGCAGAAAAATTAGCAGAATTCGGTACTTTTTCTGGTAAGTTTCATGCATGTTTGGTATGTGGATAAAGAAATGGAGCAGAATTCGAGGAATTGCCCGCCTTAAAGGGGAAGTTAAGGCAAAAATTAAAATTTCACCAGTTGTAGTCTTCGGGGTGCTGAGTCGAATGGTCTTG